AACCAGCCTGAGCAAGAGCGAGACCCCATCTCTACTATAAATAGAAAGAAATTAATTGGCCAACTAATATATACAAAAAATTAGCCGGGCATGGTGGCGAATGCCTGTAGTCCCAGCTACTCGGGAGGCTGAGGCAGGAGGATTCCTTGAGCCAGGGGTTTGAGGTTGCTGTGAGCTAGGCTGACGCCACGGCACTCACTCTAGCCTGGGCAACAAAGCGAGACTCTGTCTCAAAAAAGAATAAATCTTTTGAAATTCTTCAACTCTAGCAGGAAGGTATTGTGAATTCAGGCAGTATTCCTTTTTAAAAAATTTATGTAAGTTGATGTGTCAGTAAATCAATAGTTGTAGAACCTCAGGGACTTTAGAACAATTCATCTGCTTTATGAAATGATAGTGTGTGTATATGTGTGTATATATTATATATATATATTTGTTGTTGTTGTTGTTGAGACAGAGTCTCGCTTTGTTGCCCAGGCTAGAGTGAATGCCATGGCGTCAGCCTAGCTCACAGCAACCTCAAACTCCTAGGCTCAAGCAATCCTGCTGCCTCAGCCTCCCGATTAGCTGGGACTATGGGCATGTGCCACCACACCCGGCTAATTTTTTTTCTATATGTATTAGTTGTCCAATTAATTTCTATTTCTAGTAGAGATGGGGTCTCGCTCTTGCTCAGGCTGGTTTTGAACTCCTGACCTTGAGCAATCCGCCTGCCTCAGCCTCCCAGAGTGTTAGGATTACAGGCGTGAGCCACTGTGCCCGGCCCCCTTCACCTTGATTGCTCCTACCAGCAAGGTAAAACACCAGAATGAGCAGGGCTCAGAGAAGGGGCAGATCGCTAAGAGTCAGGTTCTTGGCAGTGTGCTTAGGGGAAGTGCTGACACCTCGCTGATGTCTTGTGGGTTAGCCAGATAGCCCAGGTGAGGAGCTCAGCATAGTCAGCCTGCAGAAATGTCATCTGCTTCCCCTGAGGCCTTATCTCCACCTCCAACCCCTGTGGCCCTCCACGTTTATCAGAATGCAGTTGGCATGGGAGGCTACTGGGTGCTCTCTAGGGTGCCCCAGGCCTGAGCACCATCTTCCGTCTCCTCTCCACAACCCCAAGGGAAGGGCAAGAGGCAGAGGGAGAGCCTGCATGGGAAAGTGCATCACATTTAAACCCCCCATCAATGCTGATGACTTGTTTTATGAGTGACATTTAGTACCATGCTTAGAAGAAAATTAAAGCCTCCCTGTAATGAAGGGCTGTAAAAAGACTTAGCTGGCACCTCCATCGGGGAGGGCTTCCTGGCCAAATACAGCAGATGTGGAAGGTGAGTAGCCAAAGTTTTTATTGGTAATCATCTTTTTGTTCACAGAAGTGAGGGTGATGTTCAAAAGCTGTATGCCAGGCAGAGGTTAGCTTTATTCTTCTGGGGTTGTTTGTTTTTGTTCTATTTTGTTTTATGTTTACATCCTAAAATGTCATTGTGCTTTGTCTTTTAACTGGAGGATGGAAATGCCATCTCACTCATGCAGTGCACATGTTCTGAACACGTCCTACGTGCAGGTTCCTGTGGAGCAGATGGGACCCTGGGGAGTCTCACCCAGCCACAGCAGAGAGGTCCATGGCCGGTCCCATCTTAGCGAGGCTCAGAGAAGTCAGCACTACCAAGCCTGCCCGATTCAGAACAGTGCACTTAAATGCCATGCTGGTGGCCCCGAGGGCTGGAGAGATGTTTGTAAGATGCACCAGGAGCTTTAGATGCACTAAGATTTTGCTGTCTCTTCCTCTTCTCCTTTCATTATAGTTGCTTTATCTCCCCAGAGACATATTTCTTCAAGCATCATAGCACATTCGTCATTGTCACCATATACTGTTGGCAGTGTTATGGTAAAAGCCACGAGAGCAGAGACCGGCTTGTTCCCCAGGTGCCTGGAGCCTTGCACAGTGCCTGCCAGGTGTCGGGCGCTCGGTAGCATTGGTTTGCTGGCTCCACGTGATGTAGAGCTCTTCCAGATTCATTGCTAACTAGATCTGGTCTCTCAATGATAATGATGATGACGAAGATAATTCTGTTGAAAATGAAAAAGATAAGCATTATTCTCACCACTGTTATTCCATGTGGGGGCCAGCTCCCCAGCTGCCATTTCACATGGACTGCCCTGAGATAACTTTAATCCTCCACTCCTTATGTCCCCGAGGCAGGCTGCTTTCTGGGAGTTCCAGGTTGCTGACTCTCTAAGCACTATTTAGCCACTCATCATCAGTCATTGAACAAATTCAGTGACTACTTCTGGATCTGGAGTCCTAATGAAGATGTCCAATACTTGGGTCATCTCCATGGTGACCTAGCCCCTGGGATGTCACTGGGCAGGGAGGGACACCTGGAATCTCCCTAGACAGTCTACTTACCCCTCACTTGCAACCCAGCATCATTTTTTTCTGTCATTCGCGTTCTCCAGCTGAGAGATCCGGGCCTTCCCTCCTGAGTCCGAGGCGCTGGTGGTAGAGTGAAGTGCCCTGATCGGGATCCGGGCTAGAAGCTGGCGCTGCAGAGCCGAGCTGTGCAGCAGAGCTCCCATATGGCTGGAAGATGAGCCTCAGAGAATTGGGAGCGTGTCAGCCTGTCACCCAGTGCCAACTAGCACAGATTTAAAGATTTCTTGATGCTCCTAGACAGCTGAGCCGAGATTTTATCATCGGCAGCAAATGCAGCCTGCCCGTTGTCGCCTTGGCAGCAGATTGGAGCACTCAGTTGACAGGACACCAGTGTGGGGCTGTCTAAGAACCTTCTCTTTGGTGCCTGTGTGGGGTTCTGTGTTGAATTGTGTATCCAGGGTTTCTGGGAGTGAGGAATATTGCCCTCTACTGGGACTCTAACATTTTTAATTCAAGCAGTGTGGCCAAAAATGTTTCTGTTGACAGCAGTGTTTCTAACATGCTTCGTACAAACTGAAATATTTGTATTAATGAGGCTGAATATTGAGAGTTATAGAAGGGGTTTCCGGTTCTGATGTACTCCCACCGCCTGCCTGCGGTACGGATGTGGGGAGTCAAAACCTTCTATTTGTTATTGATATTCAAGTAATTTACCCAGAAACTCTTCTCTGTACTTATTTTCTACCCTGGATAATTAATTAGGGCAGGTCTCCCTCTAGAAGATATACTCCTGTTGGATGGTATGTGAATGATGATCTTTCTGCATGGAATCCTATTTTAAGTGTACCAATTGGTCCACTTGTAAAGCAAGGACTTGTTTTCTAAAATCACTCCTAATATTATGATTTATAATTATTGGTATTACAAACTCAAATTTCTCTATGTTAGTAAACCTTGTAGTAATCTCATGATCCATGGGATCTCTAAAATTATTTTGATGTAATAGAATAGTGAATAAATTGCTAAAAAATCTAATTTATATTCTACAGGAATTGGCAACTAAGGCACTTTGGATTTGTTAGGGAAGTGCTTTTCAACAGTGACCCACAGTTAGAAATCTACCTTATAGAGTAACAGCTCACATGTATGTATTTGTACATATATACATAGACATAAACATGGAAATGAAACAAAACTTTCCCAGATTTATTTATTTTGTGCAGTGTACTCTCATATGTCCTGTTTTTCTTCCTATCTTTTATTTTATTATTATTATTATTTTTTTTTTTTGAGACAGTGTCTCTGTTACCTGGGCTGGAGTGCAGTGGCACAATCATAGGTCACTGCAACCTCAAACTCCTGGGCTCAAGTGATCTTCCCACCTCGGCCTCTTAAGGTGCTAGGATTATAGGTGTGAGCCCTGTGCCTGGCCTCTTCCTGTCTTTTTTTTTTTTTTTTTAAGACAGAGTCTCACTCTATTGCTCTGGCTGGAGTGCCATGGTGTCAGCCGAGCTTATAGCAACCTCGAACTCCTGGGCTCAAGCGATCCTTCTGCCTCAGCCTCTCGAGTAGCTGGGATTACAGGCATGCGCCACCATGGCTGGCTAATTTTTTCTATATATTCTATATGTTTTCTCTATATACTATATATTTTAGTTGGCCAATTAATTTCTTTCTATTTTTAGTAGAGATGGGGTCTTGCTCTTGCTTAGGCTGGTTTTGAACTCCTGACCTTGAGCGATCCTCCTGCCTTGGCCTCCCAGAATGCTAGGATCACAGGTGTGAGCCACTGCACCCGGCTGCTCTTCCTGTCTTTTAAATGTCTACTTCCTTCTTCCCTCCGTCTTTCTTCATATGCTGGTCATGACCCACCAGAATCAGTCATCATCTTGTAACCCACAGTTTGAAACACACTGTGTTAGGGATAAAGATTTTCAGCTATCTCTACCCCTTCCTTTCTCTAAGTTTCTGGCAGGTGTGTGGTTCTTTTCTTTTTAAAAAGAATCCTCTGCCTTCTGCCAGATAGCAGAACAAAAGAAATATGAAGAACTTAAAATCCCCACCTTCGCCTTTGGACTCGGTTGCCTTGACTCTTGTCCTGCTCCAAACTGTTAAGGCAGATAGCCCTCTAAGAAGTGCCTTCCTGAGTGACTCACCTTGAGGTGCTGTAGGAAAGTCCTTCTCTGTTTACTGGGGGAGAGTGACCATTACAACTCCTTTAAAAAGACCCAAGAATTACCTCTGCTATGGCTTGGGAATAGCATTATTTAATAATCATATTGCAATAGTAAATATTTATTAAGCACTCAATGTGATTCAGACGTGGGCTCAGTGCGTTATGTGCGTTATTGAGTCCTTACAACTACCTCCCTTCCTGTGCTCTCCCTCTGTCCCTCGCAGAGTTCTCGCCCGGCCCTGCCAGTGTCTGTGCTTGGCCCTGCGGGCAGGGCGTCCAGGGCTGGTCTCTCGCCTGTCAGTGGTGCGTTCTCAGATGGGAGAGTGATTTGGGGTGAGGGAAGCAGTTTCTCCCATGCTCCCGAGGTTGACCTCAGCCCTCTGTGTGAGGCACAAGCCCTGGTCTAGTGCAGTAAATCAGAACACCCGCCTAATGCCCTGGGAAACGCTTTCTGTTTTCCAGGCACTGCTAGCGGGCATGCGGAACCGGGAGAACAGCTCGCCCTGCCAGGGCAACGGAGAGCAGGCCAGCAGGGGCAGGATCTCGGGCTCTGTGTGGCTGGGCGAGGACGAGCCCTGCAACGATGTCACCACCCCTTCCTACAAGAAGCCTCTGTATGGCATCTCACACAAGATCATGGAGAAGAAGAATCCTCCCTCGGGTGACCTGCTCAACACGTACGAGCTCTTCGAGAAGGCGAACGCCAGCAACAGCCCCTCGCCGCTGCGGCTTCTGAACGAGCCACAGAAGCGGGACTATGGCGGCACGGGGGCAGCCACTGACGGCGACCCCAACATCTACTTCCTGATCCAGAAGATGTTCTACATGCTCAACACCCTCACGTCCAACATGTCGCAGCTGCACAGCAAAGTGGACCTGCTCTCCCTGGAGGTGAGCCGCATCAAGAAGCAGGTGAGCCCCACCGAGATGGTGGCCAAGTTCCAGCCACCCCCTGAGTACCAGCTCACCGCGGCTGAGCTCAAGCAGATCGTGGACCAGAGCCTGTCAGGTGGGGACCTGGCCTGCCGCCTGCTGGTGCAGCTCTTCCCCGAGCTCTTCAGCGACGTGGACTTCTCCCGCGGCTGCAGTGCCTGTGGCTTTGCCGCCAAGCGGAAGCTGGAGTCGCTGCACCTGCAGCTCATCCGAAACTACGTGGAGGTCTACTACCCCTCGGTGAAGGACACGGCCGTGTGGCAGGCCGAGTGCTTGCCCCAGCTGAACGACTTCTTCAGCCGCTTCTGGGCCCAGCGGGAAATGGAGGACAGCCAGCCTGGTGGCCAGGTCACCAGCTTCTTTGAGGCGGAGCAGGTGGACGCAGGCCACTTCCTGGACAACAAAGACCAGGAAGAGGCCTTGTCTCTGGACCGGAGCAGCACCATTGCCTCGGACCACGTGGTGGACACGCAGGACCTGACCGAGTTCCTGGATGAAGCCTCATCCCCGGGCGAGTTCGCCGTCTTCCTCCTGCACCGGCTCTTCCCCGAGCTCTTTGACCACCGGAAGCTGGGCGAGCAGTTCAGCTGCTACGGGGATGGCGGCAAGCAGGAGCTGGACCCGCAGAGGCTGCAGATCATCCGCAACTACACGGAGATCTACTTCCCCGACATGCAGGAGGAGGAGGCCTGGCTGCAGCAGTGCGCGCAGCGCATCAACGACGAGCTCGAGGGCCTGGGGCTGGACGCGGGCAGCGAGGGCGAGCCCCCGCGCGACGACTGCTACGACTCCTCCAGCCTGCCCGATGACATCTCCGTGGTCAAGGTGGAGGACAGCTTCGAGGGCGAGCGGCCCGGCAGGCGCTCCAAGAAGATCTGGCTGGTGCCCATTGACTTTGACAAGCTGGACATCCCGCAGCCTGACTTCGAGGTGCCGGGCGCCGACTGCCTGCTCAGCAAGGAGCAGCTGCGCAGCATCTATGAGAGCAGCCTGTCCATCGGCAACTTCGCCTCCCGCCTGCTGGTGCACCTCTTCCCCGAGCTCTTCACCCACGAGAACCTGCGCAAGCAGTACAACTGCAGCGGCTCCCTGGGCAAGAAGCAGCTGGACCCGACCCGCATCAAGCTCATCCGCCACTACGTGCAGCTGCTTTACCCCCGGGCCAAAAACGACCGCGTCTGGACTCTGGAGTTCGTGGGCAAGCTGGACGAGCGCTGCCGTCGCCGGGACACGGAGCAGAGGCGCTCCTACCAGCAGCAGCGCAAGGTCCACGTGCCAGGCCCCGAGTGCAGAGAGCTGGGGAGCTATGCAGTCAACCCCGAGAGGTTCCGAGAGGAGTTTGAGGGGCCCCCGCTGCCCCCCGAAAGGAGCAGCAAGGACTTCTGCAAGATCCCCTTGGACGAGCTGGTGGTTCCCTCGCCCGACTTCCCGGTGCCTTCCCCCTACCTGCTGTCAGACAAGGAGGTGCGCGAGATCGTGCAGCAGAGCCTCTCCGTGGGCAACTTCGCCGCCCGGCTCCTCGTCCGCCTCTTTCCCGAACTCTTCACCGCCGAGAACCTGCGGCTGCAGTACAACCATTCCGGGGCTTGCAACAAGAAGCAGCTGGACCCCACACGCCTGCGACTCATCCGTCACTACGTGGAAGCCGTGTACCCCGTGGAGAAGATGGAGGAGGTGTGGCACTATGAATGTATCCCTAGCATCGATGAGCGGTGTCGCCGCCCCAACAGGAAAAAATGCGACATCCTCAAGAAAGCCAAGAAAGTAGAGAAATGATGGCCTGTGGGCTGCCCAGAGACTCAGAGGCCAGGAAGGCTGAGCAATGGGCACCCCTGGGACTGAGTGTTATTTTGGAGCACGTGTACGGGATCCACAGACAGGCACCTTATGTCAGTGGGGAGTGGCTTACTACATTTGCACACGTAAACACCCACCCAGCCGCAGGAAAGAAGCCTTGAATTGGTCTCTTATGACTTTTGTCCTGTGTTCCCTGGTGGTGCAGCCTAGGCGTGGGGACAGCCGGCTGTGGGCGCCGGGTCTTGGGTGGGGCCTCACTCCCTGGCGGTGCCCGCCCCAGCCCCTCACAACTTAAAATGCAAACTCAGCAACTCTCTTGTTCCTCTTCCCACATTTCACATCTTCCATTTTGATCCCCCCTTTTTTTTTTTTAATTAGAAAGAAACCCTTTTTTAAAAAAATCATTGGGCTCTTTGGGAGCCATTTTACTTAGAGAAAAAAAATCTTTTTTAAAAGAAGTGCCATGTTGATGCACGATGGCTAATCATAGATCCAAGTGGCATAGAGATTGATTTTACTGACCTTGTCTTTTACATCTGATTTTGGAAGAGTCAAGATGCCCCTTGGATGGCAGTAGAGGGGCTGGAATGGCGTGAAGTGCTTTGCGGCCATGCCCAGGCTCCCCTCTCTGCTGTGGTGCCCAGGAAGGCTTCGCCGCAGCTTGGCCTGCTGGCGTCGCCGCGTCAGTAGAGTGCCATGCGCACTCTCTGTAGGCAGAACACTGGATGACGTTAATATGAATGTCAGTAGACGTGGAAACACGTTCACGATGTCCTCATCTGAGCTGTGTCCTGCCACTGCCCCCGTTCCCTCTCCGTGCGTGGTTGCTTGGTTGGAGGGAGCAGACGTGTTTCCCTGGAAAACCATATGGGGGCATTTGGCTTCTAGTTTGATTTTAGGCTGGGCCTCTTTGGGCTCACCAATAACTGTTTACTTTCTGAGTGTGTATTTGTACAAGATCTGGGTTCTGGGAGCTGCGCGGTGACTTCCCCAGACTTCAGTGTCCGCTCCTCCAGGCAGCAGCACGTCCTTGTTCCTCAGAGCGGGCATTGGAAGGACACAGGTCATCTCAAATGGGGCTCCCATGTTCCTTCCCAGGGTCCACTCAGAACTTTCCCCCTTGAACCCTATAGAAGGTCCTGCTGTCCTACTCCTGGCCCATCCCTTGGCTTTGGGGTGCACATCTCTTCTCTCCCCACTGATTGGGAAGGTCACACTACTCCAGGCCAGCAGCATGCTCTCTAACCAGGACATTCCCCAACACGTAATTTACTTAAAAATAATACTTGTTCCTATCTAACTTTGGGGGCCAAATGCCTAAGAGGGAAAGAGGGAAAGGAAACAGTCTAACGCAAACTGAATACATCATACCAGAGACCCAGAAAATTAGTTGAATCACACAGGGGAGTCATAAAACCCTTGTGGGATGTTACAGATCTAATAACCTAATGGCTTAATATTTTGCTACCTTAAAATGCTGAGATAATAGAAAAAAATCTGTGAATTTTCTTAGTACAGCTGATAAGGACTTCAGGTCTGGTGGCTATATTGGCATAATTTTGCCTGTACCTAGTGGGCATTTTTTTATATGATGTAGGATTTGTGAGCAATGTAAGTTGCTGATCTGACTTTAGTAAATTTACTTTTAGATGTCATTTACAGATTATTTCTGTTGAAACTGCAAACCTAAATTATTTGAAATTTAGAAATGCACAGGGACTTAATGATCCTTTCTATCACACATGCACACAAACCTCTTACTAAAAAATGAAGTGAGATGAAGGGGACCTACATGAACAGCAAGTTCAACTTGTGCCTGGAAAGAAGGGACCAGATCAGCCAGGAACTCACTTCCCCCATCACCTGGGCCTTTCTCTACGCCTTAGTCTCTCCAGCACATGCATGCCGCACGCACGCACCCTACCCAAAGATGGCTGGGGCACCCTCCCGCCGGCCCTGCTGGTTGGGAGGGTCCCGTGGAATTTGTTCTGGTGTCCGGGATGTATCCAAGAGGATTCCAAGCCATGTGAAAATTGCCCTGCTTTCTAGAGGGTGGAATGTGACCCTGCAACGTTAGAAGCACAATCATTTAGTAATAATTTTTTTTTAAACTTCCATCTACCCATGTTAGAGAAATCAATAAGTTCTAGGAATTAAATACGTCTCTTTGTAACCTAGAACTTGTTACGTTTTTTGAAACCATATTGTAGTGGTTCTCTTAATCCCTTTCGTGTGTAGGGCTTCTTCCCCGCAAATCTTACAGTCCCTTTTTCAGTGAAGAAAGGTGGACACACTCTGGGAGCTGTTTCCTGTCCCTCTGGACCGTCGTCAGGAAGCGCCTGCAGGTCCTGTGTTCTGTCTGTGTGGGGTCCTCACCTGTTCATCCATACAGGTAACTCCAGTGGGCGGTTTTTTTTTTACATGAAGCAATAGAAGTACAAAATACTTATTTTTTCAAAATTTAATATGTTCCGTGAAATCTGTTGGCAACCCTCTTCCTTCCCACCATCTAAATTCTTTGGTTTTTACTTGTTTTTTGGAATTTTTTCTTTTTTTTTTTTTGGCCTTGTATTTCAAGGACTAAAAAATTAGCACACATTTTGGTGTTAAGTGAAATAGTAAGTCACAATAGGTGGTAGTCTTCATCATCTTCTCTGTTAGTAAGTTTTTAAAGAATGTATGAAGATAGTCGTGAATGTACTGAGTGTTGGAATCCTGCTTCAGTTCACCTTGGCTGTGTCTACATGACAACAAACCATTTGACAGGGAATAAAGTTGTGTCTAGTGTCATTAGCACTCATGTGCTCCTCCCCCTTTGGTGTTGGCCCCAAACCTTCCTTTCCTTTTAAGTCTGGGGGGAGGAGCAGCACATCAGCTGCAATCATCAGCCAACCTATGGGATCTACTTAGTGGTGAATGGATGGGCTGTCAGAAAGGTGAGGGTCGCTGGCCTGACTACACCACAGCGTGGCCACCTGGGTTCCTCTAGAGGTGGCCTCAGTTTCCACTGTTTCCCCCGCCCACTTTGCTTCTTGCCCACTTGAGAGGGGGTCTCCAGACTGCTGATGGCAGGCCGTTGCGCTGTCACCCTGCCCGGCTGTGTAGCTAGACGGTGTGGATACACTGAAGTGGGGGCGGGGGCCGGGGGCTGTCACTGCTACGTGGAAATACTTGCCTCTCGTAGATCCAGCCTTAATGCTTTTCTGACATCCTAGTAATAGCAGACCCTGCACAAAGTGGATATCAGAGTTAATACTGTGAGGAGACAAAATAATGAGAATAGTTTTACCAAAGATAATGAAATATCACATGTCTGCATTTTACCATTGATTTGAGTGCATCCTTAGAAAACTGAATGTAACAAAAACCCAGGACATTTTTGGAAATTGTATGCTCTCTAGCAACTTTGTGTGAATTTTTATACAAGCACTGTTTTATGAGTTATATAAAATGTTATAAAAATAGAAAAAATGTGGTCTCGTAACATCTTATTTTTTTAGGGCATTGATCTCTTAGAAAAGAATGTGTCTTGGTCTGTTTGTCTCTCTGTGCAGCCTCCTCATCCTGCTCCCAGGGGAGAGCATGATCGGTCTGGGGGTGTCAGCCTCTCGGGCTTCCACACTCTGGATGTCAGGGATACAGCTCACACACAGGCTTTCAGTTTGGCCACAGCTAAATGACTGAGAAGTCGCCAGATAAATCCTCCAAGTCTGCTTCTCCACAAACCACTTCCTGGCCATGCAGCGGAGGCTCATTGAGCCTTTTTTTACCTTTCCTGGTCAGGTGCCAGGCCAGCCCTGCAAAGCTAGCAGACCTCCATTTCACTCTAACCTCCCCCTCTCCCCCACTTTGGATCAAATGGGATTTAATTTCTCAAAACTAATGTATTATTAGCTGGTAATAAAAGGATGCGTGTTTTCCCTCACTTTCTCTTTTTATCTAACTACCAGTAATTAAATAATATTTCATAGTAAGAATAATGTCTCAAACTGCCAGAGAAACTTTTTTTTTGCTCAGGGATCCACAAGATACAAAGTAAATTGTGGCTCATGACTGGAACACTTTACCTAGGGTAAGTGTTTGCGTATTGCCGATTTGATAGCCCTAAAATCTGTGTGACTGACATGTCTATGCTATGAGCCTCATTGGCAGGTCAGCCCTGGTTGGGGGCTGGAGCCCCAAATACTAAATCCAGTTGAAGCAATAATTGAAGAAAGGCTAAATTCTTTAAGCCCCTTCTGGCTGTAGGTATCTTTGTTTTCTACCCAAAAAATTCACAGAGTATTTTAATACATGAGAATGTACTTGTAATATCTAGTTCTCAGACATAAGAACTGGACACCAAATTAATCATCATGATCATTGGAATGGTGAGAGGCAATGGCTCTTTAAGGGAGCTTCCAGATAAATCTAAAAATCCCTGGCGAGTCGTAGGGAAAGGAAGGAATGTTCATTGCTGCTGGTTGAAATGGCACCTAACATTCATTGAGTATAGACCATGTGCCAAGCATTCTGCCAGAAACTGTGCTTCCACGATGTCTTGTAATCCTTTCAAACGTCCTGTAATTTCCATAGTTATACTTTGTTAATAGGCAAGAAAGCTAAAGCCTTGGATGGTATATATGCTATCTGATTTAATTTTCATAAAAACTCAGCGTCCGGGGTGGTGGCTCACGCCTGTAATCCTAGCACTCTGGGAGGCCGAGCGGGCGGATTGCTCGAGGTCAGGAGTTTAAAACCAGTCTGAGCAAGAGTGAGACCCTGTCTCTACTATAAATAGAAAGAAATTAATTGGCCAACTAATATATATAGAAAAAATTAGCTGGGCATGGTGGCGCATGCCTGTAGTCCCAGCTACTCGGGAAGCTGAGGCAGGAGGATTGCTTGAGCCCAGGAGTTTGAGGTTGCTGTGAGCTAGGCTGATGCCATGGCACTCACTCTAGCCTGGGCAACAAAGTGAGACTGTCTCAAAAAAAAAAAAAAAAAACAACTCAGCGTAGTGATCATTGTTATCATCTCTGTTTTGTGTGAAGGATGCAGAGAGAAGTAGATTTCTTGTCCAGGTGAACCCAAGATGGTCTCTTTCCCCTGAAATTCAGATCCCCAAACAATTGCAAGTCAGTGGTGGCCTCTATCAATCACACCTCTAAGCCCCAGTTTGCATGAACTTAGGTACAGGTGTGCTGGTTTTATTTATTTATTTATTTTTTTGAAACAGAGTCTCACTTTGTTGCCCAGGCTAGAGTGAGTGCCGTCAGCCTGGCTCACAGCAACCTCAATCTCCGGGGCTCAGCGATCCTCCTGCCTCAGCCTCCCGAGTAGCTGGGACTGCTGGGACTACAGGCATGCGCCACCATGCCCCGCTAATTTTTTGTATATATATTTTTTTTAGTTGGTCAATTAATTTATTTCTATTTTTGGTAGAGACGGGGGTCTCGCTCAGGCTGGTTTCGAACTCCTGACCTTGAGCAATCCGCCCGCCTCGGCCTCCGAAAGTGCTAGGATTACAGGCATGAGCCACCATGCCTGGCCAGGTGTGCTGGTTTTAGAATTAAACTAATTCCAAATAACTGTAGCAATTGTGGACAGACAAGTTCTGGTGATTGTGAGTAAATTTAAAATTGTGAAAGTAACTGGTATAGATCGGGTTCCCTAGGAGCAGGGTCCAAGACTGGGATTCTTAGGCAGGCAGTTGATTGAGGGCATGTCCTTAGGAGAAGGGGCCAGGGACAGGAGGATGGACCAGGGAAGGCGGAACTGACCGTGGTCTCTGCTGCAGTCTAGTCGCATTCTCAGCCACGAGGAAGCCCTGCGACGACGTGAATTGTGGCAGCATTAGAGCCAGCCGAGGCAAAGAGCCTGGTTGGTCATTGCTCAAGGTCTTCCCTGAGGAAGTGTGGCTTCCCTGGCAGGGTGGCTCCCTTTGGGAAGGGGCTGTGCTCCAGCAGGGGCCCCTGTGGCTGTTAGCAGCTGTGGGGCGCTGGTACAGGGGTCTGAGCGGAATTCCGGCAGCGTCCGCACTATAGCAGTAGGTCTCAAAGTTTATCTGCATCAGAATCACCAGGGCATGAGTTAAAGCAGATTGCTGCCACCCGCCCACTCCCAGAGGTCCAGGGTGGGGCCTAGGGATCAGCATTTCTAACAAGTTCTCAGGTGATGCTGATGGTCCTGGGACCACGTTTTTTCAAAAAAATTTTTTTGCATTTCAAAATATTAAGGGGGAACAAGTGTTTGTTATGTGGATATCTTGTATAATGCTTAAGTCAGGGCCTTAGGTGTGCCCATCACCAGAATAGTGTTCACTGTTCCTAATAATTTTTATCCCACTCGCATCGTTCCCACATGGGACCACACTTGAGAACCACTGCACTATAAGTAACTTCTCAAAACGTGCTGTGTGCATTATAGAAACTGAAGGGTTAGCATTCTCCTGGTTATTAGAAATACATCTGAGCTGAAATAAGTGGTTTCCTATTGTGTTCAACTAAAACTGCTTTTTAATTAAATCCTAGCTTAGGAAACTAAATCTTAGCTTTTAGGCCAGTGGGAAGTAGCAGAGGCAGGTTTACAAATGCTTCAGCATCAGGGATTCTGGGCGGTGGCCAAATATGATGGCATTTGACAGAGCATTTCTGCAGAGGGAGGGCTGTCTGTTGATTTCATTTTAAGGAGTAAGAATTCATTCGTTTTTCTAAATAGTCTTTGTATTCCTGATGGTGAGCTGTGTCCTAGACAGAGGCTGAGCTTTTAATGCCGTAACTCCCACTTCCAGGAGCCCCTGCAGTGTGATAGCTGTGGATTCAGAAGTGACTGTGGGTCCTTAAATTGCAGAGTTTCCTTATTAATAATAGCTCCCATTTTCAAGCACCTGTAATGAGTCAGGGATATACTAGCAACTTGACATTATTTCATTTAATCCTCACAGAAACCCATTTTACAGATGGGGAAAGCGATGCTGCCAGAGGTTAAGATCATATAGGTGGCAGAGTTGGGGGCTTTAACAATGGTTAGGCTGACTCCAAAGTTTGTACTCTTGGTTTCTGCAATGCCATGTGGGTCACTGTGCACAGCAAATCAATTTCTCACTCTGCCTACTGGTCCCGGTGATTTAACTTGGGGTTTTGCTGACGATCCATAGTATCTGGGCTTCGGGATCCACCCTAGTGAGAGCATTTGACTCAGGAAACTTTTCAATGCCACAGAAAATAGGGAATGTAGTAGGTAAGGGCGTGGTGGCTCAGGCCTGTAATCCTAGCACTCTGGGAGGCCGAGGCAGGCAGATCACTCAAGGTCAGGAGTTCGAAACCAGCCTGAGCAAGAGGAAGACCCCGTCTTCACTAAAAATACAAAGAAATTAATTGGTCAACTAAAAATATACAGAAAAAATTAGCCAGGCATGGTGGTGCATGCCTGTAGTCCCAGCTACTTGGGAGGCTAAGGCAGAAGGATTGCTTGAGCCCAGGAGTTTGAGGTTACTGTGAGCTAGGCTGATGCCACGGCACTCTAGCCCCGGCAACAGAGTGAGACTCTGTCTCAAAAGGAGATGGCTTGAGCCAGGATTTTTGTTTTGGTTTTTTTGTTTTTTTGAGATACAGTCTCTTGCTGTTTGCCCAGGCTAGAGTCCCATGGCGATAGCCTAGGCTCACAGCAACCTCAACTCTTGTACTCCAAACCGATCCTCACTCCAGCATCCACAGTAGCTGGTCCTACAGGCATGAGCCACCATGCCTGGCTAATTTTTCATATTTTAGTTGTCCAGCTACTTTCTTTCTTTTTAGTAAGACGTGGTCTTGCTCTTGCTTCCAGGCTGGTCAGCTACCCTGAGCGTCAAATGATCTGCCCACCTCCGCCTCCCAGAGTGCTACAGGCATGAGCCACCTCACTCGGCCTTTTTTTTTTTTTTTGAGACGGGTCTCACTGTGGTCACCTAAGCTAGAGTGTAGTGCATCATCAATAACTCACTGCACTCAAATTCGCTGGGCTCAAGTCGTTCTCCCTGAGGTGTAGGACTACAGGTGCCTGCAAATATGGCTAATTTTCTATGTTTTTTTGTAGAGATGAGGTCTTCCTATGTTGCTCAGGCTGGTCTTGAACTTCTAGCCTCAAGCAATCCTTTCCCCTTGGCCTCCCAAAGTGCTAGGATTACAGGCATGAGCCACTGTGTCCAGCAAAGGCCAGGAGTTTGTGACCAGCCGGGGCAACACAGTGAGACCCTGTCTCTGAAAAAAAAAATGCATATAAACAAAAAGATACACATTAAGTATGTTACAATCATTGGCAAAGTAGTAGTAGGAGGAGGATATGTAGAAATACATATCTACAAGAGAGAGGAAAAAAAAAAACTCCAAAGACTTTGGAGGGTGGACACTGGTGCCAGGGTGTTCTCCAATGGAAAAACTCCCAGGGGTAGTGTCCCCATTCCTCCCAGTGGTGTGCTGGTAAATGCTTAGCAACTTCTCCTGTTGGAAAAT